ATCGTTGTCCATGGTCACATCAGTATTTTCTTATAATTACTTTAGAACTATGAATATGTTTTATTTTTATTTCTTTATTTTTTTTGGAGAATTGGGGATTGAGCTCAGGCCTTGGTGCTTGCCAGGCAAGCGCTTATTCTACTGAGCTATCTCCCCAGCTGTGTATATGTTTTATAATCTAGTCTGTAGCACTTACATCCACAATCCCGGCAGCATTTACAGCCATAATCCCAGCAGCCCTCACACCCATAATCCCACTGGATTAAGAATTAATCACAAAGTCTAGAAGTCCACCCCATAACTGCATGAGGCTTTGGGGAAACAATTAGACACAAATCATAATACTAGTCTATGGACTTATAATTTAATTACATTAGCAAAATGCACAAAGAAAAAATTGTACAGGAATGTAACACAATTGCACAAATGGCTCATAGGTATATATGAAAAGATCAGTCTGACTAGTAATTACAGCTAGGGATTTTTGGTTTTTTTGGCACTGGGATTGAACACAGGACATTAAGCTTGCCAGGCAGGTGTTTATGCCACTGAGCTATCTCCCTCGCCCCTCACTACTAATTACAGAAATGACAAGAAATAGTGAGTTATCATTTTGTGGTGATTAGATACAGGTTTTTTAAACTCACTTAGCAGGATTTTTTCTAAAACTGAATTTTACAAGGAAGTGTAGATAGGTCTAGGGGAAGGTGCAGAAACCTAACAAGTTTGGTCGGGTGAAGAATCGTTGTCCATGGTCACATCAGTATTTTCTTATAATTACTTTAGAACTATGAATATGTTTTATTTTTATTTCTTTATTTTTTTTTGGAGAATTGGGGATTGAGCTCAGGCCTTGGTGCTTGCCCAGCAAGCGCTTATTCTACTGAGCTATCTCCCCAGCTGTGTATATGTTTTATAATCTAGTCTGTAGACAATTTTTAAAATCATTATAAAAGATTAACTGGAAGATGAATGAAAAGGAGATTTTTTTTTTTTTTTTTTCCAGAACTGGGGATTGAACTCAGATCCTTGCGTTTGCCAGTCAAGCGCTCATCCTACTGAGCCATTTCCCCGGCCCCAAGGAGATGTTTTGGTAAAAACTTTTTGCAAGGGATTTGTGTTGGGATTTTTGGTTCCTTTTTAACTCTTTAACCTCATTTCAAAGTGCTTTTCACTCATTCATTGACTCCCTTAGCATCGTGAGTCTTTTAGTTGTAGGCATACAAAAGGTCCCAGAAACACAGAGAAGAAAAGTCAAGTTGCCTTAGATATGATGAAGAAGAGACAACCCAGGGACAATGACCAGAGGGAACGTAAGAATGAGCACGAGGTAACGCACGTAGAGAGAGAGAGGTCTGGAGGACAGGATGGCCAATCCCCGCAGCAAGGATTGAAGGGTGCATCTGACCTGGGTGAAGAGCAGGTTCTGGCACCCCAGAGTAAGGGAAAAGCAAAATCGAGGGTGGCAAGCAGACAGGCATAGAGGGAACTGTGACAGGTTTGGTTGGGTCAGATCTCCGGGCTCACAGTAGGCAGCAGCGAGAGACTTTACTCAAGGCAGAGGCAGAGGCGCCATAGGATGTACCAGGTAGAATAAGGCTTCTTGTCACTGAGTAAACAGCCAAAAGTCTCCTAGGCTTCAAGGAGACTGGAGTTTGCCGCTTGGCACTGCAAGGGAAGCAGGCAGGTCAAGGGCAAGCTTGGCAAAGGACTCGGAGTCCTTCTCTTCTCCTGCCCCACAGTCCAAATACAGCCAATAATCTGCACAATACAGGCTTTTAAAATAAATGTGATTTTATTATAAAATTCTAAAAATGTGCTTTTGAGGATAGTCATGGAAATACTGCATAAGCAGAAATGTCTTCATAATGCAAACGATCTCACAGATTTTATATCATCTGTACAACTAATACTTGAAAAATATTCTTCTTTTCAGCCAAGAAGAGTCTTGAGAGCACCATTATTTGAACGGAAAGTATTCTGTGAGTCAGAGTTCATCTTTGGTCTGCAACAAAGAAGCAAAGCACTTAGTCATCGGGAAGATATGAGTCCTGAAAGCTTACACTTGTCAGTAATTTTTGTCTAAAGATAAGAGGAGGGGAAGAACAGCCAAAATGTTGCTAGATGCTTTCAGGGCCCAAAACTATCTCTCTGCAAGATCACAAAGACTTGTTGGTAAAGTCTTGGTGTGTTTCACGGGACTACCCAGGGGAAAGCCAAACAGCTGCCAGGTTGTGTTTCCAACATTATCAGCAAAGGGCTGCAGTGCACAAAGAACAAGAAACAAACAAGGCTCCTGTCCTTTCCCTAACTTTCACCAATCAGTGGAAGATACCGACTTGGTAATTCCTCTCAATCACTTAGATGACAATTAAAAAATAAATAGCAGTGGAGCAACAAAGCTGTATAGACTTTTATAGCTAAATACTATGGCACCAAATAGTGTGATGCCCAATGAGGAACTTAGCACAGGGGACCTTGTGGTTGCAATTCCTGTTTCTTCACTGGCTTTCTGTGATGTTTTTGGCCTTGTGGCACTACAGGAGTCAGCACTGGTGATGGACCATTCCAAGGTCAAAGAGCTGCTGACAGGTCGGATGTCCAAAAAAGACAAAGACACTCTGAAGAATCCACAGTCTCATCTTTAGCGTGTGCTGCCTGTCACAGTATAAACATTCCCATCTGGCTCATTCCAAGCTACCAAAAGCCTTCTTTAATGTACACAATTCCTGAATACTGAATAACTAGTAAGCTCATATAGGCTGGTTCTGACACACTGCTGAGGCCTGTAGTAGCCTCTCTCCTTTAAATGCTCTTGTGAAGTGCTGTGGAATCTGCTTCTCATCTTTGGCTATGATACCCTGAGCAGAGTTTATTGATTCAGCAACAGGATAGTGTTGCCTAAAATAATGTCAAGCCAGCAATTTGCACATGCGCATGCACGTGCGTGCCACCCCCCCCCAGTTTGTACATCTATATTCCTTCAAACAAACTAGTTAAAACATTACCCCACCACACTAGTTTCCCATATACAAAGATGCACACACAATCAGACCAGGAGAGACTGGTTTTTACTTTGCTAGGTGATTTTAGGCTGAAATCTTTTCTCGCTTCAGTTCTATTAACCCTAAAATAAAGAACTGGCTGCATGGTGTCTGAAGTCCTTTTTAACCTCACCAGTATGGATGCAAATCTGCCTGTTACAAATGAAGACGTCATGTAGCGACAGCACCAGGGATTGCCTTGAGATGAATACTCTGATGACATGGACACTCATCACTGTGCATTTTTTTCCCTCTGTGTACAGGGATGATGAAAGTGGCCAAAGCTATCTCCTGGGGAACTGGCCCACGTGAAAATCCTTTTCAGCTGTAAACTTCTCTTCAAAGGCCACATGACTGGAACTCACATTTTAAAAAGGGCTTCCATTAGCTTCGCCTGGAGCCACAGCCTTCCCACCTCCCTGCAAGCGAGCACCCTTTCTGTGCACCGTTATCTCCTACTACATCCTTCTCTCTGGCAGACTGGGTTGCTCGGAGGCCTCAGCAGGAGCTCAGGTTCATTATCTGACTGAATACTGAGAGCAGAAAAATGAGCGCACACTCGGCCCGGCACTAGCACGCTCTCTGCTGAGGTCAGCTCCGTTACCTGTCTCCTGTGGCACGAGCACGGGAAGAGGTCATCTTCAGTCTGTGCTTCCACCTTCTTCATGCCCTCTCGGATCTGGGGCTCGCTGACCTGCAGGCTGGCATACTCCTGGAGAGCAGCCGGAGAGAAGAATTCCTTCTGTGAGACTTTAAGCACATTGGCCAAGGAAACACGCTGAATTCACTGACCAGGTATCTATTATGTGCAGAGTCCTCTATGAGCACTCCCGTGAACACCCAGCAAGAGTCCAAGTCCTGGCTATTCCTTGACTCTTGTCTCTCCCTAACAGACCTCTTAGGACTCTACCTCAGACTTACGTGGCTGCATCATTTATTTATTTTACAACCTTTTGCTTCTTTACTGAAAGTAATTTTGCGCACCATCTTACCCACAATGAGGATCTGAGGACGGAGACTATTCCTGCCTTCCCCGTGGTGGCTTACAGAAGCCTCTACCATCACCTTCACTTATACTGTGTTTTTGGTCTGGGACAGACACTGTGAGACACTATGCTAAGCACTAACGCTAAAACTTAGCACGATAAGTGAACACTAACCAGTGGATCTTTAGAAATTGGCACAGTGAGTCTCCTAGCTCACTCATGTACAGTCAACACAATGCACCTTTATCATCTCCTAGGGAAGGGGACAAAATTGGAACGGCCAGAACAGACCAGAAATAGACCAACTGCGATCTGCAGTGCAGTGAATAATTTATTTTCTTTTGTGCTTTTTAAAACAATACTTCTAAAATGGCAGCTGTACTTTTAAAAAATTATTTATTTATTTGGTCCAGGGTCTCACTATGCAGCTCAGATTCATAGTGATCCTCCTGTTTCAGCCTCCCTAGCACTGGGATTAGAACTGGTTTCGGTGGCCACCTTGGTGCGGGGCCGGCACAGCACGTGGTACTGGGGAATGAATCAGGGTCCTTGCGCTTGCCACGCAGGCGCTTAGACTGTTGGGCTATCTCCCCGGCTAGCAGTTGTACTTTGATTACAATTACTCAATGCTGGGCCTATGAAGATAATTTTCAAGAAAAATCTGGGGCTGGGAAGAGTGGTCCAAACACCCATTGTATGGTCTTCAGAAATAAAAACAAAAGCAAAAATCAGAAACAAAGCAAAAGTTAAGACAGCAGCACTATAATAGGAAAATAAATTCTGTAACTTTGTCGGATTGGAGGCCAATTTTCTAATCAAATACCACACTGCTCTAATTTAAATATGTTTTCCTTGATATTGTAACATTTATCATTTTTTTTTTTTTTGGCAGAACTGGGGATTGAACTCAGGTCCTTCCGCTTGCCAGGGAAGCCCTTATTCCACTGAGCCATCTACCCAGCCCCTCATCATCTTATCTTTGATTTTCAGCTACTTCTTTTTTTTGGTACCAGGAACCAAACTTGGGACCTTGTGCCTGCCAGGCAGATGCCTATGCCATTGAGCTATTTCTTATTATTACTTAATATCTATCCATAATTTTCACCTGAAGAGGTGCAAGTATCTTTTTACATAAACATACTTTTAGAAATTGTTAAGTGATCCCTATGGCCGCTGAAACTTAGTATTTTAAATAACATGGGTTTTATCACCAGGTAAAATTAGCGTCTTCCTGTGCCAGAAATTTCAATATGATATAACCTTCCTATTACCTGTTTAATGAAATTTTGTGTTGTTTATAATGCTTTTTTTCTTACTAGTTGGTATTCTTTTAAAAATTAAAAAAAAATAAAGTGGTGAATAGTTAATAGGAGGCAGAAAAAAAAAGAAATTGTTAAATGAAATATTATTTGCTAGTAACACATTGAATAAGAGTATTTGACAAATACTGACCTGGAAGAGTTTGAAATAATAACAGAATATGTCATCACCCATGAGATTATTTCTTGCATATTCTTGCCCTGCTTTGGCAATCTTCTTTGCCTAGGGGAAGTTTTGAAAATCTTTTAATGGTGCACATTCTCTCCCAGGCAGACACATGCAGCAGAAGGTCACAGCGCATTCACTGCGCGTCAGCAGCAGGAGGCGCACCCTTCAGGGTGGTCCCATACTGCAAAGGGAACTCTGAGCAGCAAGGCTGCCCGAATCAAGGGCAGATTTTCAGGACCCGAAAGTCGGAGAAGTTATACTGGGTGTCCTAGAATCAGGCCTCTTGTGGAGAGGGAGAGAGAAGATGCACACCAGGCGAGGCAGCAATCGCTCTGTAAACAAATGTGAAGCCATCTTAGTGCCCTGCGCTCACGGTTCTCAGCATGACAACCTTGTAGCTTGTTGCTGTGATCCCTCACAGGACTCCATGGCGGGCTTAGTGACACCTCCTACTGCAAAGGCCCTCTTAGCTTTCACATTGCTACTACAGGTCGGGCTTGTGGTTCAGAAAAAAAAAAAAAAAAAAAGGCATAACCAAGGCCACGTGCAGATTTTGCTTCACCCGTGCACTGTGGACAGTGAATGCAGGCAGCAATGGCTGTGTTCCCCCAGGAGGTGCTATTGTGCTGTCCACGAACAGGCAGCTTCCATGAAGGGGAAAGAGTACCCCAGCATGTGCTGAGCACAAGGTACTTCAAAAGCGCCTGTGGCATCGGGCTACGGGTGGGAACAAGCCTTCTAGGAGACCAGCCTTACCTCTTCGTCATGATCTTTGGCCCACTGGAGTTGCTCCAGCAGGTCGCTCAGGTTGCTTTTAACTGGGATGTAGTGTTTCCAGGGCTGTAGCTCATTGTAAAAGTGCTCGTAGTAGATGGAGTCCTGCTTCAGCACGACGCTGTCGCCCACCAGTAGATATGGCAGGCGATACGCTGCTACAGTGCCATCAATATTTATTTGATACTTATGCTGCCGAACAGTAGAAGAGAAGAATTCTCTATTAAATCCTTTCTTTTTCTACTCTATTTTCTCCTGCCTGTTCTACACATTAATCTGCCATCCTGGGCTGGTGAGATGGCTCAGTGGTCTAAAGCACCTACTTGGAACAAGCTTCGCAATGCACAGGGACCGCGGTTCAATCCCCCAGCACCACATGCCAGCCAGCCCGCCCCCTGGTGGGCTGAGCTGGCCACACACACACACACACACACACACACATATAAATAAATAAAAATTAAAACAAAACAAAACAAAATTATTATTAAAAAAAAATCTGCCATCCTTAGATTAAAAACATATTGGCTCCTGCCTTCGCCTTTTAGCAAGGCTGAGGACAGTGTGCAGGTGTAGAGCTGGGTATCCATTTTGATTTCTTTCGTTTTTTGTTTATTTTTCTGGTGCTGGAGATTAAGCGCAGGCCTTGTGTATACAAGGCAAGCGCTCTACCACTGAGTCATATCCCCAGCCCCTGGAGTGTCCACTTTGACACGGTCTTAAATTTCACAAGGGAGGTAAGAATCTAATGCCCGAAGCAGTAAATAAGACAAGACAGAGTCCTAAGCTACAACATCTGTGACTCTGAAATTGCTTTGCTTTTTTTAAATTTTATTTTTGTTTCTGTATTTAGGACAGGGTCTACAGGGTCTCACTACACAGATCGGACTTGTAGTGATCCTCCTGTTTTCAGTCTCCCAAGTGCTGGGATTAGAGGCATGCACTACCACACCCAGTCTCAGAACGTCCCAGGGACAGGGCTGGCCAGCACACCAGGGATCACACCCCAGCCACTGCCCTTTACTTGTTTATTGATTACACATGTGGATCTAATGATGCCACATTCTACACCAAGTTAACTGTATTTTTAAACAGCAGATGGTCAAACATGTGTTAAAGGAAATTAGCAAGCTCTAGGCAAGAACATCTACAAGCTAAAATATTCATAGACTGGTGATAATCAATAACAGCCTTAGTTGTAGAAAATTCAACAGGCAGGAAAAGCCAAGGCATGATGGAACACCACCCCCATGAAGGGCTGGCTACTAAAGAACTCTCTTTAGCTGTAATCATTTTTTCTAAAAAGTCTTTGGGCTACGGTAGTTGTGGTGGCATATGTAATCTCAGCACTCTGGAAGGCTTAGGGAAGAGGATGCCAAGTTGAAGCAGAGCCTAGTCAACTTGGTGACTTGGACCCTGACTCAAAATACTAAATAAATAAATAAATAAATAAGCTCTGAGTATGTAGCTCAATGTGAAGGCCCTGGTTCAGTTCCCCTTCTGCAAAACAAACAAATAAACAAAAACCTGAATATATAAAACAATTTATGGCCTTTTAAAAATGTATTTGCTACAGGGTCTCACTAGTGGGATTTGCACTGATCATCCTGCTTTCGGCCTCCTCAGGGCTGGGACTACAGGTGTGTGCCCTAATGCTTTGTCTCTGCTGCTGGCTCAGTGTGCCCAGGGGCAGGGCAGGCACAGCAAGGGGACTGAATCCTGGTCCCTGTGCTTGCCTAAGCAGGCACTCAGTCCATTGAGCTATCTCGCTAGCATCTCTCCCTTTTGTTTGGTTATGGTATTCTTGAATTCTGGCTACTTCCACGGAACGCAGCTGAAGAAAATCTAGGCAGATGCAGCTCGCTAATTCCTGGCCTTCCCCCAGCCACGGGATGGATCACTAACTTTTGCTTATTTTCCTCACTACCCATGGGACTTCAGAAACCACCCAGAGGTTGAGAGGACAGGGCAGTGCCCATCTCCTGAGGAAGGGGAGTCATTGGGAAGACGGACCACTTCCTCAGAAAGAAGAGCAACCCCCACTGTGGGGCTGCAAACTGCCCTTCTTCCCCAGAATTCCCAGGCAGGACAGCCGGATGGGTTTCCAGTCAGCCCTCCACAGGCAGCCTGCCAAAAGACATATGTCATAAGGCTGTGGTTCAGGGGAGAAATTAACTATAAAATGACGGGAATGCATGTATTACTAAAAATGGAGCTGAGCAGATAGCAGCTTATCTTAAGTTAGATGGAGGAGGAATTACACTTCTTGCCGCCCCAAATGCATCCCACGCATATTCAACGTCAGGGCTGAGTCTGAGGACAGCTGCCCAGGATCTCCACACCTCCGTGCTCACTACGGTTGATGCCCATCTCTCCTGTCCTCTGTAACTTACAGGTTTCGATCTAGTTCCCTGCTGCAAGGTGTGATTTTGGCACCAAGTGGGAAAGCAGAAGACTCAGGCTGCTGCTGCTGTCATACCTTGAAGAAATCGAAAAATGAGATGTGTTTCACGATGGGCCCATACAGGCTCTCATCATGTTTAAAGAAGAAAAAGTTGGTGAAGGCAGCGTCGATGAGCTCTGGGTGCTTCCTGCTGAGCTTCACCAGCTCCAGTCGCTCTTTGCGGCTGTCTCGGCCTCTCCAGAGGGCCGTGGCATTCTTTCTTTCCCAGGGCGGGCCCGTGTTGGCCTGCACAGACATCATGTCCAGACTGACTCTGGAAAACAGAAAGTGCAGTGGGCCTTCCTGTCCTCTCCTCACACCACAAAGGTGGGTGGAGAAACACTCACCACAGAGAACAAAGCGCACTCACCGGCCCATAGTTTCCAGAACAGAGTCGGTCAAGTCATAGGTCGGCATGACGATATCCCTGGAATCTGTGGAGCCACACCAGGAAAAGATCGGGTGGATATTTGAGCTGGATTTCTTCTTCTCCAAAGGCCAGTCTCCCAGATTAACAAAAAACTCCACATCTGGCATCTTCACCTAGGAGAAAAGAAGGAGCCGATTCGTGATTCTTGCACTGCATGAGGCTTTGTATTTATCAGCTAAAATCAGCACTGCACAAAATGAAAGGACAGCCTTACAAGCTTATTTGAACAGAGGGTGAGGTTTCAGAATATGGCCAAGTGTGTAAGTATCCTGTTTCCTTTCTGTAGCATGCAAACTGACCACCCAACATATACCAAAGGGATGCGGTAGCAAAGGTAAAATTTCTATTCTCCTGCTGCCAGGAAACACTAAGAAGATCAAAGGCAGAAGGAGCACTATTGAAAAATAACATAAAAATATCATGGCACTCTAATTCTAGCTGCTTGTTCATGAGCCAGACGCTTCCATTTAATAAAACATTCACCAGGGAGGTGGTGGGGACAGGATCTGAATTCAGGCAGCCTAACACCGTGTCCAGCACACTAACGTCCAAGCTGCGCGACCTCTCCTAACAAACGGTGGGAACATGGTAGAGCCTGCTTTATGAAGCCACTGAAAGGACTCAGAGGATTTACTAAGTAGATGTAAAAAAACTATTGTAAACTATTGTAGCCAAAGGTGCAGTGCCATCAGTTCCCCGCAAAGCAGTCCCTCTGGCTGTGAATGCACTGGTTCTGTCATTCTTGCCTCTTTCGGCAGTAGTTAGGTAAGCCCCCTGGGGGAGGGCCGTTAGCTGTGCTCTCCTGCCTGCCTTGATGTCCCAAACTGACTCACAGTGTTTCCCTTTCATGGTCATTTTGACTTCAGAGAAGAGCCAGAAGCCACATGGTGCCACAGGTGGAGGATTTGGCGGGTGAAGACACCACTGTTTTTATAAGCCTGCTTTCCTGTTGGGTAGCACTCGGCAGCAGCACTCACTCTAGTTTTGACCACATTTGGTAAGGACATTCATGGAAGTGGACTGCCAGAACTGCTGCTTCGGAAAGTGGCAAGCGCAATGGAGGAAGCGCACTGGAAGCGAAGCACACACAAAGCATAGTCCCGGAGTTTGAAAAATGCCCCTTGCTTACAGGGGCATTAATGGCTGTGTTTTTATTGTGATGAGTTTTAAAAAATTTAACTATTCATTGTGTTTTTTTAAAAGTCATTAGTGTATATTTTCATTCGGAACTGTATTAGTCAGTTTGAAAATAATCTTGAAAAATGGAGTCTTGGAGACAGTTCTTCTTTTTCTACGTATGGACCCAGCCAAGCAAAGGCATCCTGGCCGATGTTCCGGCTGATGCCTTGGCCTGAAGGAGACACAGCCCTGATACCCGAACTCTTTCTTCAGAGCTGACTGACTGCATGCACTTTACAATCTTGAGAGGAAAGTTGCTGTGATTTCACATGAGAATTCCAATCACTCGTGTATGCATCAATCATTCAACACATACATAGGGCGGCGGAGATAGCTCAGCGGCATAAGGACCTGCTTGGCAAGTGCAAGGTCCTGAGTTCAATTCTCAGTACCAAAACCAAAATGAAACAAATTGAGAATAACATAATAGCTTATACATAAACACCTACGCCATTGGTAAAAGTGTTGATACAAATTTTCACATTAGCCATTTAAACCCTGCTGGTGAAGTGTTCCATCAAACTGCACGTTAGGCTAAGGAATGGGTTCAGCAGCAAGCAAGGCTTCTTTGGGCTCCAAGTAGGGCTAGTACCAAATAACCTTGCTATACATTATTCTCTTTTATCTGTTAGGCATTGTTCTGGGGGGAACATGTTGAAATCCTAATCCCCAGTTTTTCAGCATGACCTTATTTAGCAGCTGGGTCCTTGCAGATGTAAACAGCTAAGGTGAGTCACACTGGGGGATCTTGGGCCATTCACCCAATGTGACTGAGGTCCTGCAGGGAGGTGACACAGACTCGTGAGGGGAGAAGCCACAGATGACAAGGAGGGAAGACCACGACGCTGCCCCAAGCCAGGGAGCACTGTGCACTGAGGGTCACCCTGAAGCCAGGGGAGAAAGGCGTCCAGACCTTCAAAGGGAGTACAGCCCTGCAGACACTTGGATTTTGGACTTCCGGCCTCCAGAATTGTGGGAATAGGTTTCTGTTACTTACATGCCTGTGTTTATAGCAGCACACCTCATTATAACTATCTCGGAAGCAGCCTTGTTGATATCTATCAATAGATGAACGGATAAATAAAATGTGAAATTTATACAATAATGGCATATTGGTCTGCTACAAAGAAAGGACAAAATGGAGCCACTTGGAGCAAAGTGGATGAACTTAGCCTTAAGTGACATAAACACACAGGCTTAAATATCACACGGTTTCTGTTATATGACAAAGCTGAGGTATAAATTAAAGAGCAAAATAGAAGATAATAGGAGACGAGGATCTTCTGCAAATGGGAAGGATCCAAGAGGCGGGGGGGAGGGGTTAAAAAGCATGATGATGTGTCGTGCACATGTACAGCTCCCCACCAGACATGAAACCATTATGCGCTACAAATATGTGCTAAGAAAAATAAATCTTTTTTTTTTTTTTTTTTTT